ATGCTTAGTAGCAGCGTATTATGTATTTAATGCTGAATACCCCCAAGGGAGCAACTCGCATCGGCAAAAACAATTGTATGTTCCTCGAGCATATTCTGCTTGGAAGGATTGGTCAAATTCTATCAATCGGTATTGAGAATTTCTAGCACTATTGTGAAGAACATCAAGTGCATAGGGGACAATAGAACACAAGCTAGAACAAGGATAATATGGCGATCAATTGCAGTAACATATTGTAATAATGAGAGATTGAAAGAGCACGAGCAGGGTTTCATGGTCATCGCGATCTAATTAATGCTAAGCTAAGTGCTTTGTATTGATTTCATTATAAGATATAATACTTGACTACCATGCAAATCTCTAGCCTATGTGCTAGTAACAGTGTAGTCAACTGGAACACAGACTAGTAACTCTCGTGCACTAAACGTATTATACTTAATTTTAGATGTTACGAAATATATTTTTACTCTACAGGTCATAATATTGTTTGATTATAGCTTCCTTGCTTAATTGCCAGCAGAATTAGTTGGTAACCCCCCCCCCCCATTCAATAACGGAAGTAATTAGTATTCAAGCGAAATTATGTATGACGTCAACAGGGGGTGTACGTCGAAGCGTTCGTATTTAGTGTACGTCCAAGCGTTCGTACTTAGTGTACGTCCAGTTTAGTAAGCATTAAGTAATTGTATTGCACATGTCTATAAAAGTGACTGAACGTTTATTCACTGATATCACTGCATGCTAAGCCTTTGAAGATGAATTTTTCACAAAATTTTGAGTAATCGAACTGGGCCAACAGTGTTCATGCGGACGAAGTTTCGTCCTCTGATTATAAAAGGCTTTTTAGTTTGTTAGAGGCTATATATGCAGAGGCTGTTGCTTACAAAGTTGGTAAACTTACTAAAGAGAGATGGTGTGGTTGCGAGTTCGACCATCCGAGTCAACGCCAGCATGATTGTATCATGTTATCAGAACAAGAGAGATGGCAATCGTATGGTTTGGAAGCCATAGAGCGAGTGATTGTTAAGCGTATGGTTTGGAGGGAGTTTGTTGAAGCTATTAGAGTAATGAAGTTACAGTATCATAAAGATGTTCGTGAGCACTTCTACAATTTAGAGAAAAGTCCTGATTCAACGTTTGTTAACTCACTGATGGATCTTCGTGAAAACACCGAGGATAGTGAATTTGAGTCCATTTTGAATTATCTTTCATACCGGAGAGAGGACAAATTTTGAGGACATGTGTGAACAAGTTTGGGCAAAATCATTACGTCACCTGAAGCGGTCATACTTTGACGATATATAAGGATGAGATCGTGCGCCAGTTTTCGTTACTTCAGTTTACGCCAACAGAACTGTACGATGGAGTGCTTACATGGAAAATCTGCTGCTAATTCCACAACAAGCAATGGATCATTTTGGTTTTGTGGTCAGAATCCCAGTTGCAATTTCTTTTGTACAGAAGACGAAGGCTACATGCATGAAAAAGCCATAACAGCTTGGAGATGTACGGAGCAGCCTCATTCTCGGTGCGATGGACATCATAAACTTGCGAAAATGTGTGTGGTGAAAAATTTCATGAATGTGAATTATGGAAGACCATTCTTCGTGTGTGGAGAAAAGGCGAAGCCGTGTTCCTTTTGGATGTGGGGTGATGTACAGCCATTAGCGAACCTGAGTGCCGTCACAGATTGATAGATAGATAGATAGATAGATTTAATAAAATACTTCGCAGCCATAGGCTGAATTGCGTATTTTTTTTTACAAGTAAAGTTAACTAATTACGAGAATATAAAAGAAGAGTTTATCAAGCCATTATGATGACATTCCATATAAATATTATATATACAAGATGTTTATTACTTTAATATACTAAAAAATTTAAAATTATTAAAAATATTAGGCCATTTCAATAGCATTAGATAAATGATTTGCGGCACGAAGCCACAAAAAAACTAGTTTGAAAACGATTAGTGTTACATCTAGGAATTTCAAATTTCCTATCGTTTCTTAAATCATAAAAAGAAGTATGTATAGGTGGCAGTAAACTTCGTAACTTATGATTTTCATCAGCGACTACTGTTTGAAATAAACTAGTACAAATATTTTCATGATGAACAGACAGTGACTCCAATCCACAACTAATTAAAGCGTCTTCGTAATTAGTGTTTGGACAGATGATTCTAATAGCACTTTTTTGTAATCTTTCCAATTCGGAACGCAAGTATTTTGGCAACGAATAGTAAATGACAGGGATACCATAGTCGATAACAGATCGAATACATGTAACATAAAATAGAACCAGATCATTCCGAGGTATACTGGCCCGTTTGAGTTGGATCAGGTAATAGATTCGTTTGGATACTTTTTTAACTACCTCTTCGATATGTAGATTCCACGTCAGGTTATCATCGAATGACAAGCCCAGAAGTTTAACGGATTTTACGACTTTAATACTTTTATTGTTAATAAGTATCGGGTTAAAATCACGAGGGATTTTTGAGAAGGAAATACGGAGCTTCTTACATTTCTCTTCATTCAGCTTCATTTTATTGTTTTGGGACCATTGTGACATCTCATTAGCAATTGTCTGTGCTCTACTCTGTTGGTTTTTGTCAACTGTTTCTGATACTGTCGTATCGTCCACGTATTTCCATAAGTCAGTATCTGTGATAGATAAATCATTTATCAGAATTAAAAAGAGCCATGGACCTAAAATGGTGCCTTGAGGGACGCCCGAAGATACTGCACCCCAATCTGAAAAACATCCTTGTGAAAGTTTGACTCTTTGGAATCTGTTACTTAAGAAATCAATAATCCAATTTATAACACTTCGTGGTAGATCTAACTGAAGTAGTTTATTGAACAAAATTCTGTGATCAATTAGATCAAAAGCTTTTTGGTAATCGAATAGAATGATTCTAGTTGTAGAACTGGTACCGTCAAGCCCGGAGGTCCAGTTATGCACCATACTAAGAAGAGCAAAAATCGTCGATGATTTAGGGATTGCTCCATACTGATTGGGGTCGATTTTCTTCAAAACAGCTGGTTTCACATACTCATCAACAACGAAATGCTCTGCAACCTTCGAAATATTAGGTGTTAATGAAATGGGCCTAAGTTCTTTTTTCAGGTCCTGTACTATTTTTACTTTTGGCAGCGGTGAAACATTCGCAAGTTTCCATATTGCAGGTAGGCGTTGTTGTTTGTAGGATGCATTTAGGAGTAGACTAATTGGGAGGGCAAGGATTACAGCATACTCTCGCAAGAGCCAGTTGGGCACTTCGTCAGGGCCACCACTTTTACTGGGGTTGAGTTTTTGTAGCTGTGATAAAACCCTTTCTTCAGAAACTTCTAAGAAGTCTGGGTTTTCCTCTAAGTTAAGTCGTTCTAACAGTGAAGATAGTTGATATTCTGATAAGGGCTCAAGAAAAGCTGTATTTATTCTGTTTGCTAGTTCTTGTTCCGATATATCTTCAAAACCAGCGATATTTATCAAATTTATTAGGGAGCTATTCATTGATTTCATTCCTCCTAGACGTTTGATTTCACTCCACCAAGCTTTAGGGTTATCTTTTTCTTTACTGTGAACCTGGGTCGTATAGTATTTTGATTTACACGCTTTTCTCTTGCGATTGACAATATTTCGGTAATATTTAAAGCAGTTGGATTTTGGACCGTAACTGAAAAAGGCTTCTTGTCTTTTTTTTATAAATGTTTTCAATTTATCGGTCATCCAAGGAACATCTGCAGAGATTTTCTTAATCCGTTTAATTGGCATGAGAAGGTCAAGACCAATAGCTACAATGTCATAAAAAAAATTCGCCATATCTTCACAGCTTTGTGATTGAGCAAAAATTTCAGGCCAAAGGATAGATTGTAAAAATCTTCCCATGGCATCTTTCTTACTCTGACGAAGGTCTCGTTTGTATACAAATGTAGGTTTTGCTTTCTTCACAATGTGAGTGGGTGAAACTACAATTGTGTTGTGATCAGATAATCCAATTGGAGGGAGTATTTGCGGAGACTTGTAGAACTCGTGCATATTAGTTAATATTAGATCAAGTATTGCTTCGCCTCGAGTTGGTGATTTAACAATTTGTTTCAACCGAAAATGCTTAATTATATGATTCACATTAAGACGATTGAAATCCCCAGCAATGATAATACCGCAGCTGTAAAATTTTGCTTCGACTTTGCTCAGTGTCTGAAATAAGTGACTCTGCATGCTGAAATCGTCGGCACTGGGGGGGTGGTATAGGACGGCAACTATGATTGAGGAAAATTCACGAGGAAGTCGTCTAGGTTTTAAATGAAGCCATAAGATTTCGTGTTCGGAACAACATGAAATTTCTGAAAGGATTTTGAGTTTCGTATCACCGTCTCTGATATAAATACAGATTCCGTATGATTGTAAACCCAGGTATGCTTACAACGCTATCTGTAATTGAGTCATTGAGCCAAGTTTCAGTTAGAAAGGATAAGTTTATCTCATTTTCCATCATGAATTCGCGGACTTCGTCTATTTTAGGGGCCAAAGATCTCACATTAATCACCATTAATTTTGGAATAAAATTACTAATCCTCTGTTTTAATGTAGTGGTATTAAGTTGATGGAGTTCTGTAGTAAGGGGCTTACATGGTAGTGTACAGTTATTTGGAAAGTCAACAGATTCGTTTAATAATGACTGGGTGGTCTTGTTGGGAAGTCCATCGGGGGAGGCATATAAGGGTAGTTTACGTGGGGATAAAAAAAAGGGTGTCTCATAGTATTTAGGTGACTTTGAAAATGATATGGAGTTTGTCCGTAAAACGGGAGTGGAAAAAATTGTTGTTGGTGTGGTTGAAAGGACTGTTGTGGTTTAGCGTGGGAAAAATCACATTTCAAACCCTTCAGGCAATGACCCTTTCTGCGTAAAAAGGGACATGGAACGTGAGATTTAGGGTTTTTTGTGTGTCGGGGGAACCTATCTTGGTATGGAGCGGGTATTTCGTTCCTACCCGCAATTTCTTCTGAAACATTATCGGTTCCAGCGTTATTTAGACTTGCCGCGCCAACGTTGTTTTGATCAGATATCTCGATTATACTAATGTCGGGGGCGTTGGGATTAGTCGTTTCATTAATTTCTTTTGTTTGGGCGTGAGTTAAAATATGCATATCGGTGGCAGGTTTGCCATTTCGATTTTTAACTAACTTTCCCCCATTTTCAACTGATTTTTCACCTTTACTCTGGCCCATAAACTCAACTAATTGTTCAACAGTTTGAGACAAAGTTTGTATAATTTCTCTGTTGATTTCTTGACCCGATTTTAGTTCCTCAAAGTCGAAAACAACATCAGCACATGGACAAGACGACTGCCGCGGGGTATCTACATTCGTCTGGCATGACATGTCCGAACTAACTACATTTTTAACACTTGAATGTAGACTATTCAAAATCTTTTTACATAAATGTTGATACACTTTACCCATTTCGTCGCCTTCAATCTGCAAGAGACCTTTGCCTTTTCTCCACGAGATCGAACTGTCATTAAACTTAAACACCTTTTTGTCGCCGCCGGGATGTTCCCAAGTGCCGTCTAGTTTTAGATCATCAGCGATTAACAACTTCAATGAATCAAAATCTCCAGTCCAGGCAAAACTTATATGATCAATAAATGAAACCATTCTCGTCTCGAATAAAATTTTCGTAGTTTTAAAAGCGAACGAATCGGGCGATGGATCAAATTTCACTCGTGTAGCGGAGCACAAAATACACGTCTGTTCTGTTCAAAACACCAATTTGTTGCTTCGCATAAGTTGATGACGTAATGGTATCTTCAAATCTCTGCCACACCAAGCACTTCTCAGCTCCAAGCGCTGTGGTTCATTGTCGATAAGGGATTCAACTGAAAGATTGACCCGATAACCATGTTGAATATCACTGTCGTTGCTCACTGTTGATACGACCAATTCATCAGGTTGTCCATCTAAATCCAAAGATGATGCTAGTGAGGGGTCCACTAGGGTTATCTCTGATCCCGAGTCGAGCATGGCATATGTGGTCACGACTTTCCCCAGTTTTCCAAAAACACGTATAGGTACAACTTGTAGCAGAACAGCATCAGAATCCTGCAGAAAAGCCGTATTGACAGCGCCGGCTTGCAAATCACTGCCGTCCTTTTGAGCAGAATCTTGATTGCTCTCTTTCTTCTGCTGGTTTGGTATATGCAACAACGTGTGATGTGAAGCGCCACATCCTTCAATTCTGCACTTGAATTTGCTCGGGCAACACTTGGCAATATGTTTAACTGTGATACCAGATTGTAGAACTGGACTATTCTTTAGACAGTTATAACAGAGACCTTTAACTTTTACGAACTTGTTCCTCTGGGCATGTGTTTTCTCCTTGAAAAGGTTGCAGCGGTGTAGCGGGTGTGCCTGGGAGCAGCAAGGACAAGGTGTTTCTTGAGGTCCTCTCTTGCCCGAGGAATTTTGATCGTCCTTAACACCTGTGGCCATCGTATATATTGGCAGTAGATCTTCCTTCTTCCTTTTGTATCCCTTCAAGAGGTCGCTTTCCTGGGTTTTCCCCTTGCTGGCATTCATAGGGTGGTTTGCAATGTTTGCCCATTTGTCAACGAATATGGAAAAGTCGCTTAATGTTGGGAAACGTTGATCCTTTTCTTCCAATTTGCTTGCCAAACCCGCGAATCTTTGTTGTAGATGTTTCGGCAGTCGACCTGCCATCTCCACCAGATTTCCTTGATTTATCTCATGCAAACAGTTCAGGGACTTCAATGTAGCCAAAGCTCTTGCGGTTTTATCTGCGAACTTTCGAAGTGCAGTTTTGTCACCATTTGGAATAACAGGTCCCTTTACCAGGCCATCCACAATTGAACTCACAATTACGCATGTACGACCATACCTCTTCTGTAGAATTTTTAGTGCCTCATGTATGCCGCCATCAACTGCCTCGAGACTTGCAACTGCTTCTTTCGCCTCACCGTCCAGAAATTGCAATAGTCGCAGCATCTTCTCTCCATCATCAAAGTCTTGTCTTGACATTATGCGTCTTTCAAATCTCTGCTTAAAAAGAGGAAAATGTTCTGGAGAACCAGAGAATTTGTCAAGCTTGATGGCTGGGAGGCTTTGGTTGGAGGCTAATTTCTGCTGGACAGATGATATGCTTTGCATTGCAGATGCTACCATAGTCAGGACGCCATCTTGGGGTGAGTTACTTACGCTCGTACGTCTCGGTGGAGGTTCCAAAGGCGAACAGGTTGGCTTGTTCACAAGTAAAGGTGTTCTGTGTTCCACTTCAGAAAATGGTAGTTCACCATCATTTGAATTTAAAGACTGGTCAGCAACATTGCTAGCAGAGGTCCATCTGACCGGGGGTACACCAGTTGGGGTATAGTTGAAGGTAGGTATTGAGAGTCTATCTCTGTAACATGCAGAGTTGGTGTGTGGGTAGAGATTATCAAGTCTTGAGTGGTAAATATTTTGTTGGTTATCAAAAGGCATTGGTGCCTCATCACTAATATGTGTTGGTCGACCAATACTTGTTGCATTCATTGGAGCCGACGTTGCAAATGGATTAATGTTCCTCAATAAACTTGCACTTGAATTGCCTGTCCACTGTTTCCATGGAGATGAAGCTGTTATAACCGGTGTTGAATAAAGTGGTTTGGCAGAAAGATCTGGGTTCAGTGAGTTGTTTCTCATAGTGGGATGTGGTTCATCTTCAAATAAGAAATCCTCATATAAGAGAGGTCTTGGAATATCACCAGTGAACTGATCAGCACCAGTTGGAATATCCTCTTGATCTTGTGTGGCAAGGCTCATATCAATTTCCCCCTGTTCCTCCATCTGTTCTTCCAATTCAGCTTCTAAGTCCATAAGTGCTGCCCTTTGTCGGGCTTCAGCAAGCTCTCTTTCAGACTGTTGTCTTAAGGTTTCCAATCTTTGGGTCCTTTCAATCTCTTCCTTTTCCATCTTTTGTTGTCTTAATAGTTCTCTGTGCTTCTTTTCGATCTCCAAAAGCTTTATTTCACCTTCAAGTCTTCGCCACTGCTCTTGCTCTGCCAAGCGTAAAGCTACATTTGCCTTTACAGCTTGCGCTCTTTTTTCCAGTACTACTGAGCTTGAAGAATGCTTCGATCCTCTGGAACTATTAGATCTATAGGACTCCACACTTTCAGTATATGGTGATATGTGTTCTCTTCGCAAGTGTGAGTTATCCATGATTATCTCATTAAAATAGGTTGCGGCATCAAGTAGGTATCCAGAGATTTTCTGAACAAAGGCAATCTTTTCAAGGTGTAACTGGTCAAACTGTTGAAGGGTATGGTAGAACTCTTGGCTGTCTGAGCCAAGTATAGATACGTAGTAGTTATGTGACTCCACAAATGTTTTCCATGAATTATCATACTGCTGGGAAAGTGTTCTAACAGTCTCGGCATTAGTTGGGTCGTTTAATAGAGTTTCAATTTTGCCACGAACACGAGTAACAGCTCCCAAGTATCCTGCTCTTGTTCTTTTTGACGAGTACACCTTTTCAGCGAGAACATCATCAGAAACTTGTTGCACACGTTCTCTCTGTGACCACTTGGTATTTCTATTGGCCCAATCCATATCACAGATAAATCACCCAATACATATGTAATTGTATCTTTCAAATATTCAGTTGTGCCAAATGTACAATTACCCAAATGTTGATTTATTTAAACGAATATCCAAATGTTGTTCTATTTTAGTAGTAGTTGATCCAATATCCAAATGTTGATTTATTCAAACAAATATCCAAATGTTGATTTATTCAAACAAATATCCAAATGTTGATTTATTCAAACAAATATCCAAATGTTGATTTATTCAAACAAATATCCAAATGTTGTTCTATTTTAGTAGTAGTTGATCCAATATCCAAATGTTGATTTATTTTAGTCGTAGTTGATCCAATATCCAAATGTTAATTTATTCAAACAAATATCCAAATGTTGATTTATTCAAACAAATATCCAAATGTTGATTTATTCAAACAAATATCCAAATGTTGATTTACTTTAGTCGTAGTTGATCCAGTTAACACAAGTCCAATATAAACAAAATAAGTATAAACTCACTTGACTTTAACAGGTATTCATAAAGCGTTGTATACAATTTTAAATAAACATCAGGCGAAAACCACAGGAATTTCTACGTGCTTCGACTAGAACTCGCATATGGTTGGCTGATCATTCGAATAAAACTATGTATAGGTGCTTTGACCCTATACGCTTTCTTGTTATTTTGTATCGACCCGAATGTGACAATTGACGTTTCTGTCTGACTTTGTTTTATTCTAACAAAAATATGAAAATACATAAAATACACTAAATATATACGTAAATTTACAAACAATTTACAGTTCTTACATAACAAAATGCTCACATATAGGACAGAAATACATAATAAAACTTTAAATGTCTTACCGAATGTCGATAATCCCGTATTAAAGCTAGTTTTTTGCTATTTAAGTCCAAATATAATCCTTCGAAACAAAACAACAAAAACGTTTTATGTTCGTCGAAAACCCCGGATGTTCACCGGAAACTCGCTAAACTTCGATCACTGACCGGCGATGTAGCCGTCTACTAGCCGAATATGTTAAGTTGTATTCTCTTGTCGATACATTTGCTTTGAAGCCTAGAAAACTTCCACTATCATATCTAAAAGTTAGATGAAAGCGGTTATATTCCTGAAAGCGGAACACAAATTAAATTCCCGTTCGTGTAAATGTTGTATAATATGTGTATCGTTTCAAAAAGAAAGTGATTTTAAAATGCATTAAAGCATTTCTCAACTTAGTAACAAGTTCATAAAACTTTCTTTATCTATCAATTTGACGTGTCATATTATTACTATTAGTTTATTACGCACATGCTTTGTTAATCTCGTCTTTGTTAATTAGTTTATTACGCACATGCATGCTTTGTTAATATACCATATCTAGTGGCATATAGATCACCAAAAAGCCACGCCAAATATGCACGTGGGAGCGTTTCGCTAACCTTTAAATTGAAAAATTTTCCGGGGTCCCCGGCTTCCAGAACAGTACCTTTTATGTATTTGGCACTTTAGACCCCCCCCCCCCCCATTCGTATGGGGCTGGCTACGCGCCTGGACATTGTGCGAGACATTGTTGTATTCACACCAATATTTTCATATCAGTGGCATAATCTTTAAGTTTCTAATTACCACAATGCAGTGTAAGAGTAAAAGGTTCCGTGATAATATTTTTGTACATATCCATGAATGTTTAGTGAGTCGGCAAGCCGTGTTTTTAAACATTAAGTTAATTTCCATTATCACCGCCTATAACTTGTCACATGACCAGTTTCCATGGAAACCAAATAGTTGAAAAATATCCGCAGTTGATTTCCAACATCTCACCCAAAAATAAGAGCCGTAGTGTACTTTGTTATTTTTAATTAATTTTTAAAGGTATTTTCTATTTTCCCACTCCTACGAAATTGGAGCCAGGCATTAATGCACCTGAGTAGTAATATAACATCCGGTTACTTTCGCATGCGGGTAACGGCTGAGTCAACTGCTAATTCGGTACTCCGAAGGTAAAGGACGTTTGCTAGCTTTATAACCACTTATGGTCAATGTGACATTTCACATCTATCTACAGTAGAATTTGCAGATATAATTGTCGACGCATGGGTAGGAAGGCACCTTTAAGTGGTCTTCGATAACTTACCCTTGCATTTTATTTAGCATTAACCTAGGTCGATAATTAATCAGATAGACGTGTTTTCTCCCTTGCATATAGACCATGTTTAATCGCTCGACATACTACCCTCCCCACACTTATACATCTTTCAGATATTGACCACATGCAACCGAAGCACAGCAAAGACGTTACATATGCCAATGCAATTCAGTAAACATGTTATACTAAATGCTATATGATTTTCGCGAAACTGATATTCTAAAACACCCGGTAATTCAAAGAGGTTAAATATGCCTTTCATTGCCTTTCAGACAATCAGTTTCAAAAGTCTTGGGACAGATGCTACCCTGGTTCCAGAGGTTTAAAATAAACCTCTGGTTGAAAGCGGTAATTGATTCATCGAGCCGCGCCAATCAGTTTGAATTAGGGTCAGATTCTGTCTCTGTCTCCTGATTGGTTGATTGTATTAAAGCTCTCTGATTGGTTATAGATGTTTTATTTGAATCAATCAGAGAGCTTTAATACAATCATCCAATCAGGAGACAGAGTCGGGATCTGACCCTAATTCAAACTGATTGGCGCGGCTCGATGAATCAATTGCCGCTTTCAACCAGAGGTTTATTTTTCCTCTCCCCTTCGTAATGATAATAATAAAAATAAACCTCTGGAACCAGGGTAGACAGGTGCCACAAAACTTTTGAATTTCAACAAACGTCAATCCCCCGCCCCCTGCTCAATGTTGTGTCCCATTTATCGTCAGGTTTGATGTGTTTTGGTTGGAGCAACATTGATTGGGGTGGGGGAGGGGGAGGGGAGCAGTATTGTGTGTAAAAAACTGTAGTGATCCACTTACAATCTAAAACTACATGTGTCCCAACAACTTCTGAAAGTGATTGTAGTTGGTCTGGAACCACCACCGTTAGAGAATCCAAAGGATAATAGTCATAATGCTGTAAATCAAGTTCAAAACCAGGGACAACAGGAAGAAGCTCAAGAAACTCATCCTGAGCCTAAAGCAAAGGAGGCTGAATCTAGGGTTAGTGTGGACATAGGCAAAGCATTTAAACGTGACTTTAAAATTTTCGGAACCATCAGTGGTGAAGGCCACAAAGATGGATTGTCCTTTGTCAGTCTTGTTCGACAAATTGACACTGGCGTAAAATCTGGACACAAGGAAACTGAAATAATTGAAGCAGTGATACGTGCAGTGAGCCCTAGTTTAAAATTGCGCTCATACCTAGAAATGATGAGTGGGTTGTCCTTGTCCCGTTTGAAGCAAATTTTAAGGGCACATTTAAAGGAAAAGTCTGCAACAGAAATTTACCAGGAACTTACACAATTGTCGCTAAGGTCCCAAAGAATCTGCCCAAGATTTCCTGATCAGAGCAATGAACTTACGCCAACAAGTCATATTCTCATCACAAACAGTAAATAGCACTGTAAAGTATGAACCATCACTGGCTCATTCATGTTGTCGAGACTGGGTTGCAACAAGAATCCATCCGAGCCAAATTACGCCCCCTCGATCCTTGAGAAGCCAATTGTCAATGACTGAGGAACTGATGGACAGAGTCAATCTAGCTGTTTCGGCTGAGACAGAACGACAAAATAAAATGGGAGTGTTAGGTAAAAAGAGCCTACATGTCAACCAGATTGATAATAGCCCAGACTCTGGCCAGGAATCCCAGAATCCAAATATGAGAGAGAAAATCGGTAATGAAGAAAAGGAGTGCAAATCTAATAAGTTGGTTGCAGCCATGGAAGCGGTACAGTCTGACCTAGCATCATTAAAGGAAGCATTTAACAAGTCGCAGATATCCGGTAAAGATGCATCCAAACAAAATCAAGATCAGCGGAGCCAGTACAAGAGAAAGAGTTCTTTGTGTAAGAAATGTCAGGAGTCAGGTGAGGAGAAATGCATTCATTGTTACAAGTGTGGTTCGACACAACATTTCGCTAGGAGGTGTAAAAAGACCCAGGGAAACGAATGGAGGCTATGCCCAGGGACAGGGAGTAGCCGAACAAACTCATTTGTCCCATGCCTGTGCATTATGTAAAAGAAAAAAGACTGATATACTGTTTAAAATAAGTAGTAAAGAAATGTCAAGAAAAACACTGGGGTGAACATAAATCCTTGTTGCGAACCCTATTACCGGAAGATAGAAAGAGTGAATGGAAGGACTCAGAAAAAAAAGTGGTACGTGCATATAATTGCACTGTTAACGACGCCACCGTGTATTTACCGTTCTTACTGTTTGGGCGACCACCTAGACTACCCGTGGACCTTATGTTTGGAACATCGCCCACTGCATCGAAAGGAAACCACACTGAGTATGTGAAAAGATGGAAGGGTGCCATAAAAGATGTCTACGCGAAAGCCATAAGCAACGCCAGTAAAGCTGCATCTGCAGGAAAGTCGAACTACAACCGTAAAGTCCGTTTCACAGTATTGGATACAGGTGATTGTGTACCGGTCCGCAACCTTACTGAGCGTGGGGGTCCCGGAAAGCTGAGATCCTACTGGGAGAACCAAATATACCAAGTACTGGAACAAAAAGGCGAGCTACCTATATTTGTTGTCAAACCAGAAGGTGGTGCCAATGGACAGTCCGGAGTACATCACAGAAACCTTCTACTCTCTTGTGACTTTTTACCACCATATGCCCCTGGAAACGTCCACCCAGTAGCACGACAGCAACAGCTAGAGAAAAATAAATTACGAACGACAGAACAACACCCGTGTATCTGAATATGAAGATAGGGAAAGAGATGACGAGGGTGAATATCAAGGATTTTCTCCTTAGTCTAGGACCTGTATAATCTCAACTGTTTTAGGGCAAGTTGACCATGACGGTCAATATGGTAACTCTACCCGAACCCCAATCCGGGACGATTATAAACGTCCGAAACTGACCACACCCAAAAACGAAGCTTTTGCCATAGAGTGCTATCTACCAAACCATAAAAGCTTTGGCTATTCTGAGGTGCTTATACTGTATGGTTCAGAGATGGCGCTTTTAGGGGTGGTCCTTGGTGATTGTGAAATGCCTAGCACTGATATTTCACAAGAAAATGACCATGCAATACTCATAGTCAAACGTCAATTTGTGGCTTACAACTTCAAATAACAGCAGTGTATCTACATTACCTTTTTCCTAATCTTTTTGATAGAAACATAATTGGTACTTATTTAATTATATTATCACTGTTTTGGTGTAAAATAGTTAATAGTTGAAACCCAATTGATACTTGTTTAAAATGTGCTTGATACCATTATGTTTGAGCTGAATTGGACACTTGGAAGGATTTCAACGAGATCGGCCACAAATAGCGGAGTAGTAAAGTGGAGAATTTGGCCAAATACGTCCATTTGCAGGAGGTAGGTACATTTCAAATTATTATTTCGGTCACAAAATATTAACTATTTTACACCAAAACAGTGATAATATAATTAAATAAGTACCAATTATGTTTCTATCAAAAAGATTTAGGAAAAAAGGTAATGTAGATCCACTGCTGTTTTATTTGAAGTTGTAAGCCAGAAATTGACGTTTGACTATGAGTATTGCATGGTAATTTTCTTGTGAAGTATCATTCCTAGGCATTTCACACTTACCAAGAACCATCCCTAAAAGCACCATCTCTGAACCATATAAGCACCTCAGAATAGCCAAAGCTTTTATTGTTTAGTAGATAGCACTAAGGCGAAAGCGTCGTTTTTGGGTGTGGTCAGTTTCGAAGCTGTTTGTTTAGAAATCTGTAAACCAAATAGCTGTTATTTTATTGTTGCATCTGTTTACCGAACACCCGACGCCTCATCCGCATTTTTTGATGCTTTTGAAAAGGTGATTGGTTTGACTGATGATGAAAACAAAGATTTGGATTGTGATATGTTAAAGAGTGTCTCTGACCAACCAACAAAAGCACTGAAAGCTATTTATGAAGCATATCGATTATCTCAAAATTAATCACTGAGGGCACACGAATAACTAATAGGTCTTGTACTCTTATTGATCACTACGTAACGTCTATGCCAGAGAAAATCAATTTGTCAGGTGTAATACATACCGGAATTAGTGATCAGCCGTGGGAACAAATTGTCCTACAATCAGACACAGACTCTATGTGGACTCTTTGGAAAGAATTATTTCTTGAAGTCCTAGACAAGCATGTTCCAATTCAGCATATTAGAAAGAAATCGTCTAGTATCCCGTGGTTGACTAGTGAAATAAAAAAGCTACTTTTTGATAGAGATAAGAAAAAATGTAGAGCGATGATAATAAAGCTAAATGCGAACTGGGATGAATATAAGGCATCTAGAAACAAGGTCAATATTGCCTTACGACAGGCCAAAGCTGATTACTACCGCAATAAAATAGCTACTCAAAATAACAATCCCAAAGAGGCCTGGAAAACAATTAATAGGTTACTAGGTCGTTCCTTCAGTGACACATCCGTGAATGAATTAAAAATAAATGATGTCAACCTTACTTCACCCGGTGAAATAGCTGAAGCATTTCACACATACTTTTCAAATGTTGGCCCTATGTTGGCAAACTCCATGGCAGATTCTAGTGTTTCTTTTGAACAATTTGTAAAACCTATTCAATCTAAAATGTTACGTTTTAAGTTGGTGCCATACAGCAAAGTACTCAACCTTTTAAACAGCCTATCTAAATCTAAGGAAACAGGCCTTGATAAAATATCAGGAAAGATATTGAAAGCTGCTGCTAGTTTTATTGCCTCCTCACTTACTTATATTTTCAATCATGCGCTTATCTCTAGCCACTTTCCATCTGAATGGAAAGTAGCAAGGCTGCTGCCTCTTTTCAAAAAGGGCCCACGAAATTTAGCTGAAAATTATAGTCCAATTTCAATTTTGCCATCAATAAGTAAACTAATGGAAAGAATTATGTACGACCTGTTATACGAATATCTTAATGAGAATTATTTACTATCTGACCACCAGTTTGGTGTTCGTAAGTTTCATTCGACCGCTTCGGCTCTTCTAGATTGTACAAATAATTGATATATGAACATGGACCGTGAAATGTTTAACTTAGTAGTGTTTCTTGCGTAAATTGGAGCCTTGTTATACGGTATCACCGGAAATGCGTTGTCTATGAATAAATCTTTTTTAACCGACCGTAAACAGAAATGTCAACTTGGTGACGTTATAACTTCTGAGAGTCGTGTTACATGCGGTATCCCACAAGGCTTCATTCTTGGCTCACTCTTGTTTCTCTTATACATAAATGACCAACCAGACTGTCTTAGACAAGTTAGCCCTCGGCTGTTTGCCGATGATACGAATCTTACTGCAGCGGGAGAAACTATAGAAGAGGTTGAGTTGGCCATGAATAATGATCTCTTACGAATAAAGGAATGGCCTTTGGCCAACAAACTAAGTCTTAATGTTGCAAAAACGGAATTTCTTTTAATTGGCTCACATCATAAATTGAACAACCTTGATTCTGAACCATCTGTTAACATCGGTCATAACATTGGCGTTGAAATTGACGAAATCTATTTTGGAACAAACACATTGAAAATGTAGTTAAAAAGGTTACGTCTGGAATTGGAGCTATGCGAAGAATCAGTGATTTTGTTGACAGAGAAACTCTGTCTTCTATTTATAATGCTTCAATACGTCCTCATTTTGACTATTGTAGTGAGGTATGGGATACACTTGGTGTGGGTCTCTCCAGTAGACTTCAAAACCTGCAGAACAGAGCTGCAAGAATAATAATGAATTTGAGGTACTATACACCAGGTATAGAAGCAATAAACGCTCTTGGATGGGAGCCTCTTGAAACTCGACGAGCCAAATCTAAAGTTAAACAAATGTACAAAGTTCTAAATGATTTAGCTCCAAGTTCACTCGCTACTCTCTACGTACGCAAAAGAAACATAACAGAATATGATCTTAGGGGCTCCTCTACCTCACCACAACTACCTTTGCCAAAAACTGAAATCCTTAAGAAAAGCTTCTGTTTTGATGGAGCTAAATTGTGGAACTCATTACCTGCAGATATGCGTAATTCAGATACATTACCAACATTCATAAATGCAATTGACGCTTATAATTTCTAATATTAATTATGTTATTAGTTTTGTACATAATTGTTTTGTAGTTATTTGTAGTTTAGTGTGTGTAATATTTTGTCATATAATATCATGTAATCCACACGCACCTCTTGGAAATCAGCGTATAGTTGACCGGGCCAGCGTGTGATCTTTAAAATAAAGTTGGTCCTGTTTTACCTACCTACCTACCTACCTAATACTGGCCAAGTGTTTCCGGATGAATTAGTATGAACATTCAATTCGTTTTTTTTTTAGAAAAAGACGTATTTTACGGTATTTTGAAAAGTGAACTTTGTTGCATCATTTGGAATAAATACAATAGCTGCAGGTATTGTTTACGAGCTAAATGCTTTAGTTTGTACTAATTCAATCAAGTTTCTCAACTGTTTAGTATGAATATGGCATCAGTGCTTATATTGGTAACATTTAATACTGTTTACAATAGTTTTTCACGCTGGAAAGCATTTTTTTACTTGTCCTACTTTCTCGCACTGTTGTGACAGAGCAACTAAAATTGATTGAGTTTTTACTGCTTTGAAATGCTTTTATTCTTCTATCTTCCCAAGTTACCTGATTTTAAACAGTTCTTGATATAACTTCAGTTCAGTTCGTTCTAAAATGTTTGTTTTGGTGAAGAATACTAGCGGTATTGAAGTGGTTATTAACAGTGCTTGCAGTTTTGTTCATTTGTTATGGCGACCGAAAGAATTTGTCAAAAATTAACACGTTCAAAATTTAGCGAAATACAAGAAAAACAACCTTGTCAATGAAAAACCTTTAACTAGAATCATTAAACAATACATGGGGAACAAAATAGGATGACTTTTATCATGCATACTCTCATATTTTTTCAAAAGGAGAATAAATCTGTGACGTTCTAGAGAGGACGTGAAAATTGTATTATCGCGTCGTGAAATCGTCCAGGACGACGTGGCAAACTGGAAGCTGTCGATAGTTGGCACCAAATGACGACATCCATGTCGTCTTCTAGGTCGCGTCGTCTTTTCTAAATCTGTCTGTTAAGATGAAGAGCACATTCATAAACCAACCTCTCTGTTTCTTTGATGATGCGGATTTTTTGGTCTAAAAGCTGATGAGGTGATCTTACGAAATCTAAAATAATTTTCCGTACTTCATGAGCATGCAAGCACATCTTATGCCACTCGTGAAAAAGAGACCGATCAGTTGTCTGAAGAGAGGCTTGGCACTGTCACACGACGACACTATTATAATTTAGCGAGGTTTAGCAAAGACGACGCGACGTCAAAGACGACGTGAAAATGGCGTAAAAATGGCGTGATATGCCCATCTATGGATGTGCCCACGCCATTTTTACGCCATTTTCACGTCGTCTTTCACGTCGCGTCGGCTTTGCTAAACCTCGCTAATATCGCGGTAAAACGTCTGCGCATGCGTCACCCTTAATAAAATTTGCCTTCCGAACTCAGTGTCAAGTGTTCCGAAGGTTGTCAAAAACTCAAAATGGAAGCGATTTACAATATTTTGTCTTTTCTGTGAAAATGAAAGATCGAGGAATAACGAATGTGACATGCAACCGAAAAACTAGAAATAATTACAGTCTAGTCAGTTTTCTTAACGTTTCTGTCTTAAGTTCGGTATTCGACAATATTCAGTCAAGAAATGTTCGAATGCCTCCCAGTCTAAAACGATAATTTTTAATGTAAATTCTCAGTTCTTTTTAGATTTTAAATGTTAGAATACTTTCTATTAATGCCTAAACTACCCGTTTAGTGTATTTTTTGCCATGTTTTTTGTTTACAATTTAAATTCTTCGCAATTCTTTAGTACACGCGTATGCGCAAACGTTTTCCCGCGGTGTTCACTTTTATGGTTTTCTAACACCGCGGAAAGTCGTCTGCGCATGCGCCACCTTTTCTGAAATTTGCCTTGCGAACGACTGTCATGTGTTCCGAAGGTTGTCAAAAACTCAAAATGGAAGCGACAAGAAGCGACTTCGATGTCGTGCCTTTTCTATTAAAATGCAAGCGGAATAATGCGCGTGATAACCTAAAAACTGGAAATAATATAATTATTGTAATCCACATGTGCAAGAGCTATTACGCAAGAAAATAAACCAAAAGTGACTGTCGATAAATTTATTGTATGAAAGTTCTTTAACTGAACCATGTAAAATATTTTTCGTAGGTTCATATGATCCACTTTTTTGTCAATAACTTTTTATGCGTAGGATGTATAATTTTTGCGTTGACTATATTTAAGGGTAATGATTTACTCCACAATTTAATCGTATGCAAATGCTTAACTATTCGACAGTTTTCCTTTTTTGTCTTAAATTCGGTATTCCGAATATTTCAAGAAATATTCACAGGCCTGAACCAGGGCATTTTTTAAGAATTCGTCAGTGCGGGGAGGGGGGGGGGATGTTCAAAAAGGGACCATACTATACCGAGTGTGGAAAATGATAGATTGTTTATTGGTAACAAAATGTTTGGTGTGGTATCGCATTTAATAGTGTTGGGGGGGGTATGGAGGTATTCTCCCCCAGAAATTTTTGTATTTTTCTATTCCTATGACTGCAATTCCCTATATTTTCTGAAACAGATTTTTGGATATACAGCATTACATTATGCTGTAGATAGACTGAACCTTCAGTTATGTACTTGCATAGTATGTTTATGTAGATACCACAACTTGGTCACTCAGGGAACCAACTTGATAAACTTAAAGGGCCTGACTCCCACGAAGTGCCACCATGGTTGCAGCACGGAGCGGGAAAGTTTTGAACATTTTGCGTCTCTAAATCGTCGGAAATGGCATTTTCAAAATCGTCTCTACCTCTTTTGTTAGGCCCTTTCATTAATTTGTTCATTATGATTTGTGAGTCTATGCTATCCGCGAGTCAGGATGGATTATTACGAGAAATGTTGTTATCAAAATATCGATTACAGTTATTTGATTATATATATTTAAGGTAGAGTGCCTCGCATGGGACTTCGAGTCCCGTTTGCACTCGTGCAGTTTGGTATGTCTTGTTTTACTGTGCAATAAAGTTTACAATATAATAATATATATATATATATATATATATATAATTACTATTCTTACTTAAAATGTTTTTTTTGTCTCTACTCCGAGTTTCACGCATCACTGCGATCATCAGGAGACATTGTTCTCAAATACCGTTTGATTTTCGTTGTTTGATGGCGTGACTGCGCGCGCGCGATGATTGTTGATGTTGCTTACACGCGCGCAGACTACATTTCCCGCTAAAAATTGTTTCTGATGCACGCACTTCGAGAAGATTTCCGATCTTTTGTTGAGCAGATTTTTGTCGCGAGATTTTAAAATCAGCAGCTTCTCTTGCAAGCATAGGTTGCATCTGGGTCTTCCGCTTGTGTATGGGACAGCCTTCTTCAGAATGGACCAAGTGGTGTTGTAAGGTCTTCCGCTTCTCTTCAATTTCCAAATATGCTTCGATAGCTCCGTTTCGTTCGCATATCTCTGAAGCTGGAATGATCTTTTATGGTTTCTGTACCTGTCTTTGAATTCCCCAGCTGTTACCCCAATATACCGCTTCGTTTCACCGTTGTCGTGACTCTTTACTTCGGCTTGGTACACGATAGCCTGGGTCAGACATTTCGTCTGGAGGGGGCATTCATCTTTCTTGCGGCAGTTACAGTTAATTTCTTCTGTTGCCGTGGGTTCGGTCGATCTAATTCTCGTGTTGTGGTTAGAAATGGTTGTCTTGACATTCTTCATGCAGCTGTAACTAATTTTGGTTGAATTGCGGTTAAAGATCTTATGTAGACGACTTGATTTAGGGAAATGTTTGTCGATAAGTTGAAGAAAGGTTTTACCAATGTTTGTTGCTACGTTTTTGCTGTAAGGTGGGTTAAACCATAGTATGTTTCTGTGTCTTTTGCGTTTGGGTTGGCTGGACGTACAACTCTCAGTGTTGGGGTCGTCAATATTACTTGAAGGCGTGGCATTGTATTGTAAATTAAAATCATAATTACTACGACGTAATGCATTCTCGTAGGTTGGTGCTGATGAATTGAAGGTTTGCTGATCAGAGGATAAATTTGATATACGGTGATTTATTGATTTAGGTAGTTGTTTAATTATGGTTGGTGGGTGGTTCGAGCGACTGTCAATGTAAATGGGTTCATTATTGGGTTTTCTATATGGTTGGTAGCGTTCCTCTGCAAGGTTGAATGTGACGTCTAGAAAGTTGACAGATTGGTGGTTTACTTGGGCCGTAATTTTCAAGTTGAACTGTTCGAATAATGTACGCAACTTTTTCCGTACCTTATCAGCAATGCGCCCGCTCTTTCCTTTGATTAAAACAAGTCCGTCATCCCGATACAAACCAACACGTTCTTTCCCAAACTCATTGGTAAGGACATTTAGCATATATAAGCCGACAAGATCACATATTTCAGCGCCGTCATAACTGCCCATCGTTACATCAAAAAGAGATTTAGAGTTTTGTTTAATCCATGTATCGTTGTTGCTGAACAGAAATGAGGTACGTGCGTGTTTGATAATCTTTAGTAATAGGAATAGTAATTACATTCGCTCTACAAAATTTTATGTATTGAGCACTCTCTTCACTATACGTTACAAAACTTGTGATATATATATATATATATATATATATATATATATATATATATATATATATATATATATATATATATATATATATATATATATATATATATATATATATATATATATATATATATATATATATATATATATATATATATATATATGCGATCTCAAATACTTCTAGTTTCGTAATCAATTGGGGTTTTTTGGTGGGGCCAAAATTATTTCCCCCTTTTTGAAACACTGGGTCAGGGGCCTGTTGCCCTCTGCGGTGACTAACTTGTTTAGCCGAGCCTTCCAACAACTCAAATCTATACGGTCTAGGAAATGCAATCCACTGGACAATGCTTAAAATCTAATAAGGTATTTACAACACAATGTTTAGAATTAAAGATGAAAGACAGGACATAAGATTCACAAAGCAAATTTCAGTTACTAGAATATCAAACCTCCCTTCTAAATTCCACGTTTTGCTTATATTTTACAGAAAAGAGACTTTGACTGGGGGGGGGGGGAATGGTTTAGTGAGGGTATGGAGCACCAAGGGGACTGGGGGGGCTTTGCTCCACCAGCTGTATAGCTAAAAAATGCCCTGCAGGCCTCCCAGTCTTAAACGGTAATTATTAATTTAAATTCTGTTAGTTTTTACGGATTTTAAATGTTACTAGAAACTTTTTATTAATTTATAAACTTTCCTTCTAGTGTATTTTTTTTTGTTTGTTTCAATTACCTTAAATAATTAAATAGCCATCAGAGTGTTTTTGTTTTTCAATTCGGCATTTAAATTCCTCGCCATTTTTTTGTGCATTGTGGTTAGTCGCGCATGCGCATGCTGCCACAAAAACCTATGGACCACAAAACACAACAATAAAATGAACATTAATTCTGACCATTCTGATCTTATTTAATTCCTCTTGCTACTGTAGTTTAATTCATGTAGTACAGACCTAGTACAGTTTCTTTCTAAATTATTTTCTATATCGTTTCACGCATGAATACTTATCATATTTCTAATGGGATTATCGTCATGTCATTGCAGGGTACCGGTATCTCTATCATTAATAATTCATAAGTAAATTAGCCAACCATATTCCTTTATTTTGCTCACATGATAATACTGGATACGTGGTGAAGCATATTGATCCATTCCTAGGACTGGATCAAAGTTAATTCACTTCACTTTAATTTAAGTAGTGATTTATTCGTATAAGATGTCATTTGAAATCCTTGATCAAATTGCTGGACTTGAAATCTAGTCCATAAATAATAAATTTTTCACTTCCGAGTTCCGCTTTCAAAATTCCAAGTATTTTAATTCCCAGAATGAATCTGAATTGCAGATTAAAGGATTGTATTATGTATTAACTTTGAAGTATCATGCAATGGCTGTTCTTCTTCGATCAGATGCGGAATGGTCGTTACAAATTAATCAGTGCCGATGCTTGCATTGTAGTGAAGGCCAGACATAAGGTAAGGAGTCGTACTATGTTTATTCTTTGACTTTGTAATGCGTGAATTTCGATCTAAATTATAATGACCTATAATCATTCATGCTCGAATTTGCGATTACGTTATTCTAAGTGACTTAGTCTTAAAGGATGCGGATTGCCTATATTTCAAGGAAATAAGACATTAGATCCATGCTTTGGTAGAATACCAACAACTACAACAATTTTGTATTTTGTACAATTCATTCAACGCATGTTGGGAGAGACGCTTTAAAGAATATGCAATCCTTTTGGGTAGTAAATCTGATACTTGTCACACTTCAGCTTTGTACTTACAAAGACTGGTATAGCAGAAATATCAGGTTTTCTATGTTAACTTATATTTCGTTTTTCGGGGCTCAATTCTAATCTTGCTGCAGGGAAAAGGTTGCATTGAAATACGAAAGCTTGGGATGGATAGGGATACAAATATCTGAAAAATACAAGGGTACTTCGACGTTTCGAACAGATACGCTTCGTCGGCAAGTTACAAATGTCGCTACCATGCTATACTTACTGACGATGGGCCTTCGCTCGAAAATTCGAAACTTGTATCAAGGCATCTTTTAATACCATGGACTAGTGGGGTATTTGCCCCACTGGGCCCCTTCCTCTGCCCCACCACTGAAGAAAAAAAGGGCTTATTGCCCCAAAGCAAGGGCCCTAGTAGGACATGTATCGAGTTATTCGAGTGTAATAAATGAGTATAACATTGATGACAAGTTTAAAATCCATATAAATTTTTTTATCCTTTTCTGAAATCATAAAATCAGGTAGAACTTTATGTTGTATGACAACCTGTGTTACCTGTCAGGAATTAATTTGGGTAAACCTGTGGCGCGCCTCGCGCATGCAGGGCTCTCAGTTTTAAGGAAATTTCCTTAAATTGAGGAAATTTGACCTTTTTGTCATTTTTTAAGGAGACGAAATAGAAGAATTAAGGAATTATCTAATTTTTAAAAATATTGAAATTATATTTAAAATTTCAGTCAATTTAGCAGTATTTATTCAAAAATACTTTTTAAAAACGCTGGAAATGCAGTCTTAAGCATTCAGTATTGCAAATTTTTTTCGAAGAAAGATATTCCTTAACAATGTGATATTCGTTAACCCAAAAATATGAAATTTAAGGAAATTTTACTAAATCTGAGGATTTTTTTACCGAGAATCTAAGGAATTCCACGCAATCGGAAATGAGAGCACTGCTTGTGGGCATGCATGTCGAAGCTTCGTGGTCAAAATTTGTATTTATAATAGCTAAAATTTAAATTTATAATGAAGAGATCAATGAAATCCGGTCATCAAAAGCGAACCAAAAGCAAGAGAAAGGCGCTACAACAGTCAGCAAATGCTCCAGGGCAACGATCTTTGTTTGAAATGTTCAGATCAACAACAACAAATAGCAGTACTACAACTAATACCGAAAGGGAATGCATCAGTACAGCTGAGGAAAGATCAAATGAAATCATTGATTTTTCAGGTGAGAAATCACAACATGTTGAACTTCCTGATCCTGTACCTGTTATGGTCGTTGTTGAAAGCGATACTGAAGCAAAGGAAACTACGAACACTTGTGGAAATATTGCAACTGTATCAACGTCAAAGTCTGATTCTAAAAATTCCAACGACTGGTATAGGGGGATGAAGCTAGATGTCGATTGGTTGTTAGATGCTGCGAAGTGCCTAGTGTTGAAGAAAGAAATAAAAGATAAAAGAAAGAGACCAACTGTTACATGCTTATTATGTAACAAGTACGAATTTCAGGTACGAAAGATGACCTTAAAAATTCAGTTACCAATAGCAAACGGTGTACGTGTTGATGGAAAGGACAGACTTAAACATGTTGTTGATCACTTACTTTCTCCAGCACATGAGGAAGCCGAACGATTGAATGATTGCGACAAAACTTGGTGTGATAAGTCCGATAAGCATCCTTGGGTAAGAGTTTTTAAAAAGTGGAATGACGAGAAATTACAGGGCCTGGTTCGTATTGCAATCGATGCCTACAATGACTCGCAGGTTGAAACCTTAAGTGCTCGAAGCTGGCCCTCAAGATCCCTTGCAGTAGAGCACAGTAATCATGTGTTGCACCACTTTGAGTCACAGGGAGGGGATGCTGACTTTGTACCTTTTGATCCACCAGCATCCTGTTATCACTATAGAGATCCAATGCTTTATGCTGAAATAAGAAACATCATTGCAAAACAAGAAATGAAAAAAGTTGCACAATTGTTAAAAGACTGCTTGTGTTACTCGGTGCAAATTGATGGAAGTGCTGACAAGCAGCAAGTTGATTCCAAGTTTATAACTGCTCGGTATGTGCCATGTGATGAAGTCAGTGTTAAAACAGTGTTTCTTGGTATTGCAAGTAGTGATTTAGGAGGAGCTGAGGGGCTGTTAGATTCTTTCACAACATGTATTGAAAACATTTGCATAAACACTGATAAATTGGTTGGTGTTACCACTGATGGAGAAAATGCAAATACTGGAAAAAATGCTGGTTTATGGAAGCTTCTGCAAGACTATATCGGAAGAGATATTCTGACAATATGGTGTGTCTGCCATCGATCTGATTTGGCACTTGAATCGGTTCAGGCTGAGGTTCCTGAGCTCACGATATGGATGTCCAATGTTCTTGCTGTTGCAACATTCTTTCGAACATCTCCTCGCAGGACAAAACTACTTCATAAGGTTTGCTTTATGTTATTTTTTTGTGCATTTAATTAATATACACTATTTTCCAAATCTTCTTTTTACTGCATGGTTGATTTTGTACGTTGATTATTGATACTGTTTTCTATCATAGTATTTAAATCTGCTCTTTGTTCCATTCAATTTTCTGAATAGGTTGAAGAAAAGTGCCTTTCCTTTCCCAAACATTTTGATGTCAGATTTGCTGAGCACACAAGAAATCTACTGAATGCTGTACTGCATAACTTGGATGCTGCAAGAAGAGTTTGGCAGGATATGGTAGATGGCACAATAGAGAGCAATAGTAAGGAAAAGCAAATGGCTAAAGGCTTCATTGAAAAGTGGTATAAGGGATCAAGACAGGTAGAGTACTCAGTACGGTCAGAGTGTCAGCACACTCAACTGGGCAGCAATTTATGAAGGAGTGACTAGGCATAAAAATACTTTCAGATTTCAGAATGCTTGTGGGATACGGCAATGGTTGTTACATGCATAATTAATTTCAATTAGAAAATAAACTTTTGAACGCCTTTAGAGTACGATTGCAAAGACTTGCTTGTTAAAGTGCTTTGTTTTTTCTTTGTACTCTTTAGGTATGGCTCACAGCTGTCATGTTTGATCTCTGCACAATCTTTAAGACATTACAGAAGTTGTTTCAGAAATCAAACTTGATTCTTCCAGATGTGTTAACAGCAAAAGATTCTGCTATGCAGAACTTGAAGATTATGAATGACATACCAGTTCCAGGTGGGAAAGAGGAGCAGAATTTGGAGTTGCACGATAATGAGCAAGGTAGACCTGTGAGACGAACCAGTACAGCACATCAGTTTGTGACAAGCCAAAACAGGAATAGCAATGCTATAAGGAATGAAATTGTGCAGTCCGCCATCAATTTTCTTGGGCAACGTATGAACACAGAAAATGATGGCACAGTTGAGAGTTTGATGAGTATTCTAGAAGCATCTTCATCTAAGGACTTAATTTTGGCCAGTAGAAATCTTGTTTCTTCGATTCTTGGACCAAGCTGCCTGTCAGATTTTGTCAGTGATGTTTGCAAGTCATGGAACAACCTGGCCAAAATTGAGCATGTTGAGGTGGAAGACACTGGAACTATGTATGCTCTTCGCCTTAGGAAGATGATACAGGCAAGTACTGGTTTACTTAAGAAATTCCTAGCATCTTTTCTTACCCTTGTCCCTCACAGCATGGCAACTGAACGAGTTGTTTCTCATTATAACAATGTGAAGACATCGGGCAGGTCTTCGCTTAATCCTGAGACAATAAATGGTATATTGCATATTTCTCTGAATGGAAAGGGTGCATCCTTTTTTGACCCAAGACCAGTGGTATCAGAGTTCTTAACTTCGAAAGAAAGAAGAAACCGAGAGCCGTGTGAAGAACTGTACAAACAAAGGGAATTTGTGAAACATTTCTTCAAGCAAGAATCCGGATGTCTGTGATTCACAGAAGCATACAGTATATCTTAAATATAACTAGTATGATACTTTTTAAATACAACATTGGTTGGTGAGCATACTTAAACTTGTTGTGTTTGAATCTTAATTTCAAATTATCACAAATTTCACTTTTAAAAATTTCCTTTGAGAACCTGAGATTTCTTTAAAAAGTGTTCTCAGAATGCAGGAAATGCTATTTCAGAGACCAAAATTTTAAAAAATTCCCGAGGGCATGTGCTTAAACCCACCTTCGGTGTTCGCGTACTATCCAGGGAAAGGGAAAAAAATGGCCTGGGCCCTTTGGTAGTTTTGCCCCACCACTGAAGAATCCTTAAAAGATGCCCTGACTTGTATTTTTAATTTTTCAAATAGTTGTATGGTGTCTATCCGAATATTTCTTATTATTCGCAAGGATTGTAATGAAATATTGCCAGAGGCCAGAGCTGCGTAGGTTACACTGCGAGTCTTGGCCTCTCTTGAGTCTTGAGTTGGCCTACAATTTGGTACTCACTGTATAAGAGTCTTTTGCTTGAACTAACTGCCACGATAGGCCGTAGCATAGCTTGGCAAGCTCCCAACTCCTGGCCGACAGTCCCCGAAAAAACTAGGTCGATAGTGATGTACTATTTTGCAGATTCATTCGGTTCCGTAAATGTTATGTTAATACCACCGTTCGATTCAGTGCAAAAATATCTACTAATTCCTAACGATACTTTTCGTCAATGTCAACATTATAGCGATTTATGAGCTTTGAAAGTCAAGGGAGATCGTATATTATCAAATTATGCAATTGTCTGAACAAAAATATAGACTAGCCATACCTTTCGCCGAACATAACTTCGGGCCCTTTGGACACGCTTCTTTGTAATAGTCTTGTTGGAATCGCTATAAACAGCGCTATTTAGGGTGTCATTTGCGAGACTGTATCTTCAAATTTGATAAAAGTATCACTGCCGGATTTCCATTTCTTATCTGATTGTGAGTTAATCCCAACCGGAAATACATTTAAAAAATGTCAAAACAATGCGACGTTTGTATCGTATGACTTTGGAAATGCCTGCAATCGATTCTACAGGTCAAAGTGCACCTACACGCGTGATTTTGACGTCATCCCGGCTACTGGACTATTTGCTGCCGAGCGTCAGCGAGGAAACACACTATTCTTGACGTGCTTCGGTTTCTCCAGAGTCCTTTCGTCCCGGTCTTTCGCGCGACCGATGTATAGTCGAGATCTCGACTTGTGTCTGTCTGTCCATTTTTCCAGGGGAAATAATTAAGCTTCAAGGACTTTTTTAAATGAGGGGGGCGGGAAAACATGATTTTGTATTGCGCTGATTTGCACACACATGCTTTCAATTCAGTTCCCAAGATTGACAAGATTTAACGAGGTTTTTAATATGGATGCAAACGATCTACAACATTTAGAATAATTCAGGTAAGGATGGTTTTATTTCTTTCTGTTGACATACATGAAGGCGTTGAACTTTTTAGTATTCGATATAGGGGTATTTCATGAGTTTACAGCCCACTAATCGATTGGTCAAAACAAATTAATTTAAGGTTGAACAGAAGGAATGCGTGACTAATTGTTGTAGTGAACATGAACAATTTGAATTACAAATGAGTTGTGTGATAAGCAGTATGTATGTATAGTTTTTGTAATATATTCAAGTAAATCAGTTCAATCGAGTCGATCGTTTATCGTTTTGTATAGTTTTTTCTCTTCGTACCAAAGGTCATTCAATGTCCTAATACAAGGAGTCAATTCAGTCAAAGTGTACTATAATAAATACATTTAGCTTTGTATGTTTATGTAGCGGTTTGTCAAGGCGATAAATTCATAGTGTTCATTAATGTTCAACATCTTCAATTCTGCGAGCAGGCTACTCAAAGATGTGTCTTAGTGTTTTACCCGACATTTTCAGTACATAAAGTGATGATATCTGCAAGTTTAGTTTATATATTCAGTGTTAATTTATCGATGTAATGAACCGGTTTAATAAAGTTGCGAATATCGAGGGAAACAGGGTTCATATCTCTGCTATGAAGACTGCTATGTCTATGGCTACCTACTTTATGGCTACTTACTACAAATAAGAGTTTAAATTGATAGTCGAGTATTGTCATTATAAATACACTATAATTTGTCTTCAAACCCTTGCGAAAATCAACACTATTTTAACCCTATTTTATTTTACTTTCTATTTTATTCCTATAGAAAAGCTATTTTATTTTTAACCCTATCATATTGCTATCACATATACAAATCCTGTATTAAACATATTAGAACTCTGTTTTAATTGTATTTTATGGCTATTATAAATAAGTTTTTTTGAAACAAAAAATAGCCTAGTTTAAATAGATTTTATTTTTCTGAATCGGTGAAGAACAGATTAAAATAGGTTTAAAATAGGATAAAATATATTTAAAATAGAGTGCAAAATAGAAATAAAATAATAAAGTAAAGTGAAATATTGGTAATAAAATAGATTTTAAATATACATAAAATAGGTTAAAAATAGTCGAAAATACATATAAAATAGTGGATCAACTGCAGTATATTAACTAAAAATAGTAATAAAATTACTGCAAAAATAGTAATAAAATAGTTTAAAAATATGAATAAAATACTGATAAAATAGTAATAAAATAGTAGAATTTAAAATAGTGATAAAATATAGCAAACAAAATAGTAAAAAAATAGTTTCTCAAAATTCTTATAAAATAGTATAAAAATAGTAATAAAACTGTAATGAAATAGTCGAGAGTCATAACAGTTCTAAAAATAATGATTAATAAAATAGTTATAAAATAGTCAGAAAGTAGTAATAAAATAGTTATAAAATAGCAATAAAAGAATAGTAAAATAGTCATAAAATAGCAATAAAATAGTCAGAATGTAGCAATAAAATAGTTATAAAATAACAATAAAATACCTAATAGTATATAAAAATGGTAGCACTGCAACATAGTTATACTTTATAAAGTAATAAAATTGTAGTATGATAATTAAAACCAGTTAAAAAATAGTAATGAAATAATATCAAATTAGCTGAAAACTAGCAATGCAGTACCATGGTTGACAGGTATATTATCGTTTAAAATTGTATAAAATAATACACATAAAACAGTTTGTATTCTTATTAGCTGTCAATGCTAGTTTGTGACAGTTTAACAGCGGCAGGGGTGAATGTGGCAGTTTAAGCAGTGTCAAATCAATGGCATTGTTTACCACAGTCAGAGTTACCGACGTTTGAGTAACTGTAAGGAATCTATTACACGATTGGGTTTCAAATCAATTGCAGCATGAGCAGTCTAGTAGTCTACTTAACAGTTAGACAACGAAGCCGAGTTGTCTATGAGCGAATAGTCAACGAGGCGAAGCCGAGTTGACTATTCGTTCAGAGACAACGAGGCTGAGTTGTCTAATTGTTTTAGTATAAACCACATAAAGAAAACGGAATCTTTCACTTGACTTTTATGTAAAATAGTAACGTTTTAACGAAATGAGCGTTTAAATGGCTTCCTTGGCTTTGGCGACATTTCGTCTTGGCTTTGTTGACAACTACTAAGTGTTGCGAACTCCCAAGAATGACTTGAAAAATACAACTTGTGAGTTTTAAAAAAGTTAAAAAACATGTCATAAAACAGTATAATAGTAAGACACCGTTATAGAAGCAAAGTTTGGTTAATTAAAACTTATTTAAAAGAAGGAAACAAGGCTTAAAAAATCCAAAATTTCGAACACAAAATGGCTTCCCGAATTTTTATTAAATTAGTAAATAAAGTTTACGTCGTTAAAAAGCCGAATAAAAATGCACACACGTGCAAAAGAATCCGATTATCCGAATGTCTTTGAAATCTTTAACATATCTGGAACATAAAGAGGCAAACTATTTCCTTAATCTAGTATACATAGACAATAGTTTAGATTAAAATTTAATCGAAAAACTCGACTTAAAAAGGCTCGAAAAAGACGAAAAACAAACTCGGCCAAAATCTCAACATTTAAACGAAAAAAACTCTTTAAAATGACAGCTAAATACATGAACTCGTACTTAAAACAAGCACACACTAAAGAGGTTGAGAAAATAGGGGTAAATAACTACAAAGTATTGTTGAATTTCAACGATTCTGCTTGGAATATTAACAAACATTCTGCACATTTTAAAAAATCGCCTGTCACTTTCATATTCAAAACTACGAGCAAAGTTGAGAAAACTTAAAATTTTTACCGCATATGTCAGCAGTTTCCAAGAGTCTTTGTCTGTGTGTAATCCAGAACCAAAATTAGACCATTTTGATAAGCTTTTTCCCTTTAAATACAGCTTTTAATGCTTAAAAACGGCCATTGACTCTCGCGCCCTTCGCCGCTGTTGCTACTAGTACTAGTAGGCTATCACTAATAGCCTACTAGTAGCGTAGCCAATCAGAACGCACGATACATGATAGCCTACTAGTAAGTTTATACTAATAGCAGTTAGACCCATACCACCAAGCATCTTGCAGATCAAGCAGTTATTGCCAATACATGTCAGCTTAATTGTCAGTATTAAAAGGTGAAAAATGGGCAAGCAGACCACAGTCGATAAGCAAAATTGTCTAGCTTGAGACCACACAGTTAAATATTGTGTGCAGAACTTAAAGTAGGGAGTGTTAAGGAAAATTACATCTAAATATGTCAACATGAAACATCATGGGCATGAAACATCATGAGTATAGCTGGATACTTTCCTTGGCAAATAAAATGTCCAACATTAGGCAAGATACAGAAACATTTAAATATTAACAAACTGCTAAAAATTGGGCACTTCGGAGTGAAATGGGTAATTTCACCCTTGTCGTGACTTGCCGGGTTGTGTCTAAAGATATATAAAATGTAGCCCAAAGGTTGTTACATATATTATTAAGCAGATCATGCAGGTGGTATAGATAAATGTATTCATATATTATAAACTTTGAACTAGCAAACAAAGGACTTTGACTGTTTCCAGTTAGGGCACTTCCATAATCAAGTTGCCACACAACAAATTGATCAAATTGACATTTTACCTATTAACCGACCCACCCGGCATTGAAAACTTCAAGCATGGCATACAAAGGAAATTGAAATTAACCCTCTATACCCCATTCCATTGATATCCTAGTGCATTGTACTATTACCCTCAGATGTTAGACATGGTAAAATCAAACAGCACTGAAAGAATCCAGCTTTGATGCAACCAACACCTGGTGTTAGACTGAGGGTGAAAAAAAATTAAAGTAGGGTATATAAATGCTATAATGGTAAAGTACATGAGACATCCTTTTCCGGCTGATAATTTCAGCAAATATACTAGATAGATATAAGTAGAAAATAATATAACGGCATGTCTTGCAAATATAACGACATATCTTGTGAAACACTCCTGAAGGTGAATCATATTTGATTCAAAACATACAGTTTTCATAAATTGTGTGTTAAGTAATTAATAATTACTTTATTATTATACAGTGTGTATCAAAATAATTCGAATCCAAATTTGGCGTGTAATAACGCAGAATATATTTGACAAATTAGGTTGGTTTTTACACCATTGTTAAGTTCATTTATTTATCTTTCAAATGACATGCTGTACGCGTCATTTAGTTGGAAAATGAAGGAGTATTGCTTTGACAAAAAAAGTCCATAAAAATCACAATTTTTCGCCGATGGGAATTGGACATTTTTTATTTCAAAGTTAGTCCCACAAGGCTTTGAAATGCTAATCATCAATGAAAACTAAAATGCAAATTTAACGCGAATTTCTTCTCGTTCAACATGTTGAAAGCATAGGAGCTTAAATCTCTTTAAATGAACATGAATTTATGTAAATTTTGCTACATAACAGTTTGTTGATTAATTAAATTTGCATTATCTTTTGTTTGTGCGTCTCACTTCGAATTCCCATCGGCGGAAAAATTTGATTTCGAACAACCAGTTTTAACACACGATTTCTTGGTCATTTTTTATCTTATTGATATAAGAACGATATAATCGGAAACCTAATAGGCTATTCTTTATTGCCATATAAAAATTATATGGTTTACTTTAGTATTTTATAAACAGCAGTCTGTCAAATTTGGATTCGAATTATTTTGATACACACTGTATAATGCACTCCTTATTCAGAATAACTTTTATTCTATGACTTTTATTCATTAGTTAATACAATAAACATAATTTAATATAAAGACTTCAGGAGTCAAATGTAAGCTTTGAATTAAACTAACGTTTTATATCATCGTTTTAAATATTGTCGCGGCAAATTCAAATTTTAAGGTGGTCTTACACAACGCAAAGTGGTGTTTTGAGTGAAATTTGCCATTTTTCAAAAATGGAAAAAATACAAACTTTAAACCCTACTTAATCATATTTGTATCATTTTATTGCTCAAAAATACCTAAAACCCCTGAAAATTTAGCAAATTCTATAAATTTACACTTAGCAACGCCCATAGCAACCAGATGTTTGCCTCTTTGAAAGCCTCTAGGTCTTGAATAATTTATATTTAGATCAGTTTTTACCCCTCTCTTTCGAGTATACTGTATTGAAGTATTCCCATGTTAGCTTTGCTACCGCTGGTCAGTCTTCATTATTTTTCAAATCAAAATTCGAAGCCATATAATTTCGTGTCGAAAAAGTGAAATTTTTTAATAACTTTTGGTCGCTGTATTTGTGATTTTTCGCCGAATTTACTTCTCTTTATGGACTAATCGTCTTTTGACAATGGTAAGGGAAGGATCGTAAAGGGGAAAGAGAAAATTCCATGGGAATCGGCACGTAAATGATGCAGAGAAAACTTGTGTCAAACTGACTGTATTGAGCAACCAGTGAGTTTCTAGTGAGTCGGTTGCTAATCTCTCTGCTTCAGCGAGAAAAAAGGTCAGTCTTGTAGCTTTGATGCTACCAGTAGCAGTTCCAAAGATGAAGAGCCTAAAATAACTGCTTATCGTTTCATTGATGTGTAATAACTAAATGAACTTTTGCAGCAAGTGTCATTGTAACTCATTGTAAGTTATGTGGAGAATCTAGTCTTAGTCTTAAAAATGATCCTTGGGAAAGAATAGGTTGTGCTACTCATCTTCGGTTGTGTTGTGATAAATGTGGCTGGGTTTATAGCTTTTTACATAAAAAAGTCAGACATTTTTTTTATGTAAACAGAAGACTTGTTTATGCAATGAGAAAGCATTGCCATTGGACAAGGAGAAGCTTCTGTGAGACGTTTCTGTTCCCTAATGAATATTCCCCCACCACCGAAACCTTCTGCTTATTCAGCTTATAATGATACCTTGTTGAAAGCAGCCAAGACTGTGGCCACTGATAAGATGGGGAATGCTGGTAAGGAGTTAGACCATGACAATAACAGTTATGACAAAGTTCTCCAGTACGATGTTTACTGTGACGGAACTTGGCAAAGGTGGGGATATTCATCATTAAATGGTCAAGTTACTACCATTTCAATGGAAACGGGTAAATGCCTTGATGTCGAGATTTTGTGTAAGGCATGTCATACCTGCCAAAGGATTGATAGAGAGACAGATGATGAAAAAAGGCATTGCGTAAAGCTGACCATATAGCAAAATACAAGGCAAACTATGCAGGTTCAGCACCGTCAATGGAGACCGAGGGAGTGAAGCGAATCTTTGAATGTAGTGAAGCGACACACAAATTACAATATACAGAGTATTTTGGTGATAGTAATAGCAGGAAGGTACCACCTATAAGGCAGGATTGTTTTAAAAAGTAAAATTGTCATTTACTGCTTTGCATTAGGTTCCACTGCTGAAATAACTTAAACCGTAAACTTTAAAGCTGTTTTTCTCAATTTGTAAAAATGGTCCGATTGCTCAATTTTCATGCATGATATCTCAAAAACTATTAAAGGTATCCTGATCAAATTTTCAGAGTTGCTAGTACATATCATGCTCCAGGGAATGAACTAGGATAATTGAGTTCTGCTGCATTTTCAAGGAGTTATCACTGTTTCAGTGATGCATGTTTCCGCATTTTTTGTGTTTGGTAGGATAAATTCTGATAATAGTTGTTGTATATGCAGTAGGGCAATGATTCTAGTTCATTCCCTGGACACTATTGTAACTAACACAATAAAAGTTATTTTAGACTTCTATCATTAATTCTCACCTAGTTATCATGTTTGAAAATTGACCCATTTTTTCCCTTTGGGCGTGGCATATATTGGTTACTATGGAAACAGTTAACTAAAGAAGTATATTTTCATGGTTGGGTGACCACCTTCAACAACACTGTGTAGTTAGATTTTTGTTTTGGACCATTTTTAGGGAAAAAAAAAAATTTGTATAAGACCACCTTAAGCTATTTTTGGCGTAACTGTCATGTTTTGATGTACCTCCGTGCACGTTTCAATATTTCCAAGCCCATGATAATACGTTCTAGTCACAAAAAGTATGAATATAAACAAGTTTGGTCGCTCTTACAATATCGTGAGCTTGGAAATACTGAAACGTACACGAAAGCACATCAAAACATGAAAAATAACTGATTAGGCTTTGCACTGTACACGTCACACGAGCAGTGAAACATTTCCGTTTCCAACGGTAAACGCCCCGTTTCAAACGTAAACAAACGCGCGAAAATGTTTGCGGTTTGTACTTGGATGCAAATTGCTGTAATGCAACATTAATATGACTAATGATGAAACCGCTGCACATACATACGCGTGCTCAAAATCATCCTGACAAACAAAAATCGAGATATATGTCAAGAATAGGAAGCTGCTCGCCGGCGCTCGCAGCAATAAGGTCACATAAAAAAATTACTTGTTTAGCGTCCACCCATTTTAATTTTTCTAGGTCGGGCGGGCGGATTTTTTATTTTTTTTTCGTAAAATACAACACAAAATTCTGCTAAATGCAGAAAATCCAGTATATTACCACAGTAAAACTCACTTTAATTCTTTCAAAATCCGTTCATGTTTTTTAACTTCCCGTTCATGTTTTTAATAAAACAGAAAATTACCGTTTGGCGGTCACGCGCGAACACTTTAGCTGCGAACAGGCATATTCTGGGAAGGAAACTTTGTGTAAACGTATTACATAGCTCCCAGAAGAATAAAATCACCATTTTTTCAAGTAAAACGGTCTTTTTTATAGAGAGTTTTTCCACTAAACTCGGACAGATTTAAAAAAAAAAATAAAAAATTGGAGGTCGGGGACTTTTATCAGGTCGGGCGGGGACGCTAAACAAGTAATTTTTTTTATGTGGCCTAAGTACGTTATACCCCTCGTTGCCTCAAAATAACCTATACACATAGGCAGGTATAATAGTCGGACCGGATCGCCAGTCCGCGTCGGATCGCCAGTCCGCGTCGGATCAGGTCGGATCGTGCAGGTATAAAAGTCGGACCCGATTGTGGTCCGGGTCGGATCATGCAGGTACAAAAATCGGACCGGATCCATAGATGACCGAATCGCTAGTCCGGAATTAAAGGAAATAAAATATTGATAAGGCAGTTCGATGCAATAATTTTCAAAAAAGTGGTCTAAAAATCTAATAACATAAAATGTTTTACCTTCGTCGCCATCCATTTTGCAAATTTGCCACGCTGTTTCACGCTGTGTAAATAACGCGGGAAAGAATGCAAACTTCCATTTGTGTAAGTAACATTTCCCTGAATATCCTGATATTTCTAAATTTTCTAAAGATCCGACCTAATCCGACTTGGTCCGACCTGATCCGACCCGGACCACAATCCGGTCCGACTTTTATACCTGCCTTATACATATTCGTTTATGACTCACGCTACATTCCTTACGTTACGAATAAAAATCAGGGCCTTTTTTAACTATGTAACTGAGCCAAAGCCCCCCCAGCCACCATGGTGCCCTTCCCCACTCAACCATTTCGCCTCCATCCCCCCCCCCCCCGGTTTAAAGTTTAAAGCTTATTATTATCAGTTAAAGTCTTTTTTTCTCTAAAACATAAGCAAAATATTTGAAGAAAAATAGAATTTAGAAGGGAGGTTTGATATTCTTGTAAATGAATTGTGTTGAAAATACCTTAGATTTCAAAAATTTTCAAGTGGACAGCATATCTCAGACCCTATATAGATTTGAGTTGTCTGAAGGCTAGACTAAGTTACGTTAGTGACCGAGTTGTGGTATTTACATAAACATACCATGCAAGTACTTAACTGAAGATTCAGTCTGTCTGCCGAATATAATGTAACGCTGTTGTTCCACAAATCTGTTTCAGAAAACGCACCAAATGCAGTCCTCGGGTTGGAGAAATACAAACATTTTCTGGGGGAGGAATACCCCCAGACCCCCTACTATTACATACAACTTTTTGCCACCAACAACCAATGGTCTCTTTTTGTAGACCCCCCGGACGAATTCATGATGGTGTGTATATATTGTTACCATGGATTTTTATCAAACCAAAATGGCGGCGAAATTAAAATTCGGCAAACGATTTTATTTAGTAAATTTGAACACAAAGTTTGGTAATAAACCGCCAGAATAAATTATTAATGAAATGATAATAAATGGCATTTATTCCATTCAACATTATCGTAATAACATATCTTTACGCCCGCCATTTTGCTTTGAGAATTGTGAATTCGCATCATTTAAAAGTCCTTTACAAATGACCTGTTTACTTGTACGTGCAACTCTGCATTAAATTTCATAAATTCCATCGAGTGATCACGACACGCAATGAGGCGGTTTGACAGATGGAATTCAATGAAAACCAAATGCAATTCAATGGGAAAAATCTCCAAGTCCCACAGCTTGCAATGGAACTTTTATTAGGAATTAAAAACGCATTAATAATTCATGAGGAAAACACAAAGGAAATCACTGCCATGTCGGTGGTTTTACATGTGATAAAAAATCATGTTCATTTACATAAACTTTAGCTTTGATTTTCTCACGACTTAGACAATGTTTTCAAAATTACTTCGCCAATGAACCCATGTGATGTGTCGTTTTTTAAGCTATTTAAAAAACTCGCAGTTCGTGCTTTATCAATTATAAAACACTCGTGCAGCGCACTCGTGTTTTATATCTGATAAAGCACTGGGAGCCCATCCCGGGTCTTATTGAAGTTATGTATTAGAATTACGTATGAAATATATAGCTCAGTGTTGAAGTCTGCGATTTGCGGGCTGTGTGCGGGCAAACGCGAGCGCATTTGCACGCACACAAATATTGCGGATATACTGATGATTGAGAACATTTGAGTCTGTAAATTTATTTATTCGTAAAAGTACATTTGTTTTATTTTTAGAAATAAATAATAGTACATTTTGGCAAGGTGCTATAGACTATAGTCAATATGTAAACTATTCAGTCAATATGTAAACTTTTGTGTGTTTTTTTTAATTACAGTATCCCAATAATAAATTGAAGTACATTGTTCTGAGTGTAATTACGTATTTGCCATTTGGACAGAAACAGGTAAACCTACTGTAGCTGCAAAATAGGCCTAATACAAATATGAAATGATTTCGCCGCTTTGCAACTCAACCTATACTAGTCTAGGCTAATTATTATTATTATTATTATTTTTATTATTTAAACATATTTATCCACGGTAACCTTTCAGTTGCCTGTTTTTCAAAGGGCCGTGGTCTAAAACTATTAAAAAGATATAAAACTAAATCTAAACCTAAAGTATAACACACTAACATTAATTCAAATTGAAGTATAACATGCAAACGACCTTACAATGCAAGTAAACATTCGATAAAATTTCGGGAAAGTTTCGCTATCTTAGCAATTTTTAATAAGCCTTTTGAACTGATTCAATGAAAGATGCTCATGTTCCTCGAGAATTTCGTTTGGAAGTTTATTCCATGACACTGCTGCGCGGTAGGAAAAACTTTTCTTAAGGAAGTTAGTGTTTGGTTTTGATAAGTGAAGTTTTCGTTCGTTACTTCTCAATGCATAATTATCGTTCTGGGACATAGTAAACATTTCTGTTAAATATTTTGGTGTCATTTTGTTAATTGCTTTAAATGTCATTGTTTGTTCACGTTGTTCGAGGATATTTGCAATGGGCTCCCAATTCAATCTATTTAAGATCTCTGTTGATCTTATTTCATACCCTGAGTTAGTGATAACACGTGCTGCTCTTTTTTGTAATTTACTTAATTTGTCAATGTGGGTGATATTTCCGTTGTGCCAAACTGTTGAGCAGTAAGTGAAATGTGGTAGGATTAGTGAATTGTACATTGTAATAAGGGCATTTTCTGTCAGAAAACTTTTTGCTCTTCTCAAAAGTGCAATGTTTTTTGAAATTTTTGCACATTGATTATCTATATGGTTATGCCAATTAAGTTGTTCGTCAAGAACCACTCCTAGGAATTTTTTGTTAGAAACTCTCTTTATCATATGATTTCCTATTAATATGTCAGGATCTGAATTTATTTGATTAAGCCTTTGTCTCGAACCAACAACCATATATTCTGTTTTCTCAGCACTTAAAGTTAGTTTGTTAGCTAATAGCCAATTATGAACACTGTTCAAGTCTGAGTTAATTTTTTGTTGAATGTCAGTTGCTAATTTTCCGTCACAGGATATATTAGTGTCATCTGCAAACATTGATGCTTTTGTAGACCTTAAGCAATTTGGTAAGTCATTGATGTAAAGTAAGAAAAGCAGTGGTCCTAGATTTGAACCCTGAGGGACTTCGCAAGTAATTGTAGCTCTATCTGATATTTCGTGATTAATTTTGCAAACTTGCTTTCTCCCTCTCAGATATGAAATAAACCATTGTAATGCTTTCCCTCGTACTCCGTAAAGCTCTAATTTTGAAATGAGTATGTTGTGGTCCACAGTGTCAAATGCTTTTTTGAGATCAAGAAACAGTAGACCATTAATAAGGCCCTGGTCCATATTTACAAGACATTGATTTACAGAATATAAGAGTGCAGTCTCTGTGGAGTGTTGAGTGCGAAATCCAGATTGATATGTGGATACTATGTGGTGAAATTCTAAAAAATTATTTAGTTGCCTAGAGACCAGCTTTTCAAAAATTTTTGCTACTGCTGATGTTACTGAGATAGGTCTGTAATTATCGCAATCCATCTTGTCCCCTGATTTGTAAAGAGGGGTTACCTTAGTGTGTTTCAAATCGTCTGGAAAAATTCCAGTATCGATAGATAGATTAAAAATTTGACTTAAGGAGCCAATAATGGTCTCCCCGGCTGCTTTTAATAGTTTGTTTGAAATTTTATCCAAACCTGTTGATTTCCCGGCTTTTGCTTTAAATATCTCGTATCTTAATTCATCCATTGTTATATTATTTAACTCGAATACCTCAGTCACTGGTGTCACGTAGTTAAGAGGGTCGGTATTGTTGCAAGATAAATTCTCACTCAATTTTTCACCAATTGTAGAAAAATAATTGTTGAATGCTGTTGCAATATTTTTGTCACCAGTAACTATACTATCCCCAACTTTTAATTCGTTAATTAATGTGGACTTAGATTTTTTGTTCAATAGTAAATTGATTGTTCTCCATCCTTCCTTACTGTTCGTAGTACTTTCTAGCTTGTTCTTAAAGTATATAGCTTTAGTATCTTTAATAAGATTGTTAACACGATTTCTACAATTCTTGTATAGTTCATGATATCTTGTCGAATTATGTTTAATTGCTTTTCTCTTTAGAAAATCTCTATGATAGCTCATATTCTTAATTTCGTTTGTCATCCAAGGGTTATATTCACTTTTTACCTTTCTTTTTAGTAATGGGG